ATTTGTAGAATATAATATCGGTAAAGAAAATAAAAGTAAGAGAGTAATATGAGATTTATAAAATTGTATGTCTGATTTGTGTTAAGTATGTCAGTTGTGTATTATATACCTAAAGGGTAACACTTTTTGTGGAGTACTTTTGAAGTACCTCATCACCGAGCCGGAAGAAGGAGGAGCCCAGCATCAGCAGCCGTCACCGCCGCCAGCAGGTGCAACCCCTGAACCAGTGGAATTCGCAACTCCACGGACTGTGGATTCGACGCTGGATGTCGATCACGATACTGATCTGGAGGCCAGGTACCGAAGGATGGACAACCTAGTAGGAGGAGGTGAACCACCTGGACTGGCAGCGCACGAGCTCGAAGAAGTGGCCGAACTACATGCCATCAGTCAGATGAACCGAACACCTTCGCCGAAGTAGAAAAGAACCCGTGCTGGCTGAAGGCAATACAGGAGGAGATGACATCCATCACCGAGAACCAGACGTGGAGTCTGGAGGATATGCCCCCGGGACACCAAGCCATAGGGCTCAAATGGGTCTTCAAACTGAAGCGCAACGAAAAAGGAGAAGTTGTAAAACACAAGGCCCGTCTGGTGGCGAAGGGCTACGTCCAAAAGCAAGGAGTGGACTTCGAAGAGGTATTTGCGCCAGTGGCAAGGTTAGAATCCGTTCGTTTCTTGCTGGCAATTGCGGCACATTACTCTTGGGAGGTTCACCATATGGACGTAAAGTCTGCTTTCCTTAACGGAGAGCTGAAAGAGACCGTCTATGTCCGACAACCACCTGGCTTCCTAGACAACGACAACCCCAATAAAGTACTGCGCCTGCACAAGGCACTCTATGGGCTTCGACAAGCTCCAAGAGCCTGGAACGCGAAGCTCGACAGTACCTTACTGTCATTGAAATTCAAACGTTGCGCCTCTGAGCATGGCATGTACACGCACGGCCATGGCAAGAAGCGACTGATTGTGGGAGTGTACGTCGACGACCTCATAATCACTGGAGGTGACGTGGAAGTCCTCGTAAGGTTCAAGAAGGAGATGTCGAAAAACTTCGAGATGAGCGATCTCGGCGTGCTCAGCTACTATCTCGGCATCGAAGTGCAACAGAATTCTACCGGCATCTCCATCTGCCAAAGTGCATATGCGAAGAAGCTGCTGGACACAACTGGGCTTGTGGACAGTAATCCTACAAGGACGCCAATGGAGGCCCGACTCCAACTAAGGAAGGTCGGCACTACGACGACAGTCGACTCCACCAATTACCGCAGCATTGTCGGGAGTCTGTGCTATCTGGTAAACTCTCGTCCTGATCTTGCTTATTCTGTTGGATATGTGAGCCGGTTTATGGAAGCACCTAGGGAGGAGCATCTAGTGGCTGTCAAGCGCATCCTGCGCTATGTAGCCGGAACCAGAGGCTGGGGTGTAAGATACTGCGCAGGGAGCAGAAAGGAGAAACTCAAGCTGGTCGGCTACAGTGATAGTGACATGGCCGGTGACGTTGATGATCGTAAGAGCACTAGCGGAATGATCTACTTTCTCTCAGGCGGCGCAATCTGCTGGCAATCAACAAAACAGAAGGTAGTTGCTTTGTCTTCTTGCGAAGCAGAATACATCGCCGCTTCGATGGCAGCAACACAAGGGATCTGGCTTGCGCCACTGATGGAAGAACTCATCGGGAGAGAAAGTGATCCACCAATACTATACGTAGACAACAATGCTACGATCTCCCTGATCAAAAATCCAATTTTGCACGAACGGAGCAAGCACATAGAAATTAGATTCCACTACATTCGAGAATGTGCAGATCGAGGGCTCATCAAGATTGATTACATCCGAACAGAGGAACAACTTGGAGACATCTTCACCAAGTCCCTGGCGCGGGTGAAATTTGAAGAACTACGCTCAAAGATCGGAGTTCAAATAATAAGGTAGATATACCACAGGTTTTCGGAGGGATTGTTAGATAAAACTTGGGTTTTTTCAGTTGTTCCTAATTTAAGTTCACACGATTTCAGAAAACTCCGTTTGACCATTTGACAAAACACGTCGAATGGATCACCAAAGTTTTAGACGGAAATTTTGTAGGGAATGACACAGATTTAGTTGGCCACTCTCCCGCCATTTCTAGGATAATTTATATTTAAATAGGAAATCTGTTCAGTATATGTAACCACCTGATTTTGAAAACCTCAAAATTTCATCCTTCTCTCTTTCATTTTAAGCATTTTTCTTCTAACAACCTTCTGTCGACCATTTCCTCTCACCGAATTTCTCGGGATGATTATCGAAAAACAACATGAAGAAATTAAGTTCAAGAACGAAGACCTCATGAATGATGGATTCCAACGCAGGCTTGGAGAGGTCTGAGTGAATCGCATCGCTGATCTCTTCCTCATGGTCAGCGCTAAGCTTCAAGATGCTCTCAAGCTGCAATACTCTCCACTCATAGCTCCGCGTCCTGCCGGAGGCAAAAGTGCCTCTCAGCTCCTTCACCAACTCTGTTGCCGCCGTCGCATCGAAAACCTTCGCAGCATCGCGAATCACCTCCGCCGCCGACAACTATCCGTAAATACAGAGAGAGAGAGAGAGATCTTGTAGGAATGGATTCGACTTTCGAGTGATCCTTCGGGTGAGGGAGTTGCCGGAGTGATGTCAGGGAGCAGGCAAAACGTTAAGATGGAGGTGTCGCCTTTCTCACAGCGCCACAGCTCATCGATCATTCTCCATTTTACCTGCCACGAAGAAAGCGCCTGTGCTCCACGCACCTAGGTGGGTCGTCTTCCGATTTTCCTTTTCCTGATCGGATTCTTAATATCTTCAAGGATTCAAGGATCGTATACGACATATCCGGGCGAAGCACTATGATGACAAATGCTAACGTCAACTCTGTAGTGACAAGTAGAGGCAGCATGTTCTCTAACCCACGTTCTCTTAAGGTCCAATATCTGTGCTAGGGTTGATATCATTTGTAATAGTCCAAGTCCACTACAAGTAGATATTGTCCACCTTGCTTCGCTACATATCGCTTTCAAGTTCTTCTAGAGAGAAGTTTTCATATACTTATAATGAATGTTTTGTTCTCATCCCATCCAAAGTGGGATTTTACAATCTCATTCCATATAAAATAATAAACAATACAAAAAACGTGTGATTTCTAGATGCCTCTATAATATTATAAAAAATCACAATCAACAAGCACTTAATTCAAATTCAAATGTTGGAGTCGATCTTGCATATAAAGCATATACGAAGAGAAAGCCATACCCAAAAATTCTCGATCATTTTGAATGAAAGCAAGATAGGACTGGAATCGAGAGAGAAGAAATAGTTTGATTTTAGAGAGTTAAGCGGTAGTGTTTTTGAGAGTCAAAAGAGTTTTAAGTGTGTTTCTGGGTTTAAACTTCGATCCAAAAACACTTCGAATTCGAAGGATAAGACACCGGCCCAAATTGAATAATTAAATTATCACGACACGAATAAGTCAAAATATTCCTACCTAACCACAAACTTGTACTATTATACTATGGGACCCTTATGGCGAATCAAACTCCATATCGCTTTAAGTGTGTTTCCTTCTTTGTCTCAAGCGAGTAAACTAAGCTTGTCTTTTCTTAATGGAACTTCATTTGGAGCTTCTCGAAAACATCCAATTTGAGACCGTAACTCCTCATTTCTCCCGTTCTCAGCCACGACAGCTTCTTTCAGTTTACTCAATTCCCTTCGCATTTTTCACTTCACTTTTGCCTCCTCTATTTCGACTTTATCAGGAGTGATTATCTAAATCTTGCATCGTAGACTCACTGTGATGTGAGGGCATTGTGATGCGATGGACAGTGAAGGAGGAGATGATGGAAGACGATGGAATGTGGGTTTTGACTCTCGATTTTTATGAATTTATAGTCTTTCATTAATCCGACCAATTTTGGATGGAAATCCTCTCTAATAAGTATTTTCCAATTTACCTCTAATCTCTTTTTTTGGCTGAGAGATGGGAGGAACTACTAACATAAATTTGGCAAAGGGAAATATTTACTTTTTTTTTTTTTTTTTAATTGTTCCACATTTCAATTTGAATTGTCTCTAACATGTTGACATTTAAAAAGAAAAAAAAAATCATAAACCTTAGAGCATATAAAATTAAATATTTAATATTCTATTCAACATAAAATCAATTTTATTTCTAATAAATTAGTTAGTTTAATGTTTTTTCTTAAAATATTTAATGTTAATAAACTATTAAGTATATAATTAAAATCTAAGGAATAATGGAATTAAAAATTGAAATTTCATAAATCTATTAAATTATTCTCTAAATTAATAAAAACTTTTTATTTTTATCTCAAAAATATTCCTAAAACTTTTAAAAATTTAATAATACTCTTAAATCTTTACTATTTTGTTTCAAAAATACCCTTCAACTTTTTTTAAATGTTCAAAAATACCCTCTCATTGATATTATATTTAAAAAATATTCATGAAATTGTAAAAGTACACTAACATAATTTACCTTTAGAAAAAACTTCAAAAATTCTTAATATCAATATAGAGATGAAAGCCGACTATGAACCGCTTATAAATTATCTTCAAAATTCTTATTTTTTAGTTTTCTATTCACAAATTCTACCATATTTGATAACACATTAACATAATTAAAAATAACTTATTAAAGAAAATTGAGAATACTTTTAAGATTAGAAATTAATAGATATATTTAGAACATATCATAGAAAATGAATGGAATTCCATCATTGAAATGCCAAATTAAATTTGTCTTCTTTTTTAATTTGGACATAAAATTCAAATGCATATTTATTAGATAACATAAATTATAAAAAAGAAAATAATAATGAATTTGCTAGAAATTTATTAGACAAAAAGTTAAAAGAAAAATAGGCTCGGATTTTAAGGACCTAACTCATGAACAAATGAAGCGATTGGAGGAAATATGAACAAATGAAGCGATTGAAGGAAATATGAACAAATGAAGCGATTGGAGGAAATATGAACACAGATCTTAATTTGTGGAGCACTATCCCAAATGAATCGACGGGTTTGATCCTATTTTCACTCCCAAATCTTCATTTCCATTGTTTTTCATTCAAATCTCCAACATTTTTCTCAGTCTATACTGGAAAATGTATACTTAAAGTCATCAGGATCATCAAATCCTTCACCAGGATCTCTCCCCTCCCTAATCTTCCTTCGAACATCTTCAACTCTTTCAAGAATTCCTTTAATGGCTAAATCAAATGCATCCTCAAAATCCCACGAACTCGATCTGGGGTCTGCATAAACTATTCTTGGAATCATTCTTATGACCTCTTCTCTCATGGCGGATTCCCTCTCTTTCGAAATCCCTTTCAAACTCCCCTCAATACTCCCACTCCAGTTGCTCGCATCCCTCACAGGTATATACACAGAATATGATGTTCGGTTCTCAGGAAAATGCCATAAATATTGGGAATATGCAGTACCTGGATTGAAGAAAACTGGAATGCATCCACCTAAAATCGAATCGAATATTGATCTTCTGGTGTATGAATCTCCTGGAGGCTGCAAGCAGAAGGTCGAGCTCTGAAATGCTTTCATGGTGGTGATAGGATCATCACAGTTAACACCATTGGAACTGCAATCCATGAATTTACAGAGTGATGAACCTCGACATTGCTCGATTACCATACCTCGAATGGAGTGTATGAGGTCCGGCCGTGGAGCGCCGACGAAGGTGAATAAGTGAGGGCGCCGTCTAGCTCTCACGAGATTCTGCCATTCAACAACTTCGCTCCGTTTGGATGGATGAAAATAAGTCGGATACGGAATCGCAAAGTCGTTTTTCCACGAACTCGCTTCAATAGAGAGCATCGTCATATTGTGAGATTCAGGCAAGAATCTGAGTGTACTCCCCCAATCAGAACCTTCATCCGTTTTCCTTCTGAAATCCCAAGAAATTCTTCCAGAAACGAAGAAATGATCCCTCCCAAACATCCTCTTCCACTCAGGTTTTTCAGAAATCAAACCAACAAAATCCCTAGCGGAAGAATCCCTAGCCGAGATATTCGGATTCCATAGGTGGCGGCTGATATCGAGGCCAGCGTAAAACGGAACATAAATACCTGACGCCATAGCCGAATCGTTCGTCAAGCATTCGTACTGTTTGATTCTGTTGTGGAAAATGACCTCCAACAGAAACTGATTCGTCTTGAACAAACTATAGTTGAAGAAAACTCCTCGAGAATCTTCGATTTCATGCCCGAGGCCAGAGTTCTGGAAATACGGACACATATCGGACTTATCGGTTCCTCTGGTAAGAGATTGGCAGTCTCTAATCAAATCGAGATTAAATCGACTCGGAATGTTGTGGATGAACAAGTAGCGGCCAGAGCAAGGATTCTGGAGGGGTAATTTGTTGGTGGAGAAGACAGAGGAAGCGATGAGGACGCCATTGTCGGAGGAACGGAAAGTGGAGTAATCAAAACAGAGAAAAATCCAGATTAGGGCGAAGGAAGTGAAAATGGCGAAGCAGAGATCGGTGGAGCAAGTGGTTCTGGAGGGCTTCTCCTCCATATGGCTATGGCTGTAAAGGGATCTGTGTGGCAGAGGGGCTTTTGTAGGAGACGATCTGCATGGAGAACCGACGCCATTGATTGGGTGCGAAGGAAAGAAACAGAGGAAATGGAAGGGCATTGATTATTGGGCGATGGAAAGGGAAGGTGAAATGATATATTATGAGCGTTTAATTTTACCAACACAGAGTTGGCTGTGATTGAGATTTTTCATGCTTCCAAATTTACCATAAGACGTTGAAAGTCCGTCATCCATCCGTGCAAAGACGTTTTACCAATAAGTGGCTTAAATCAGTAATGGAAACACACACGTACATGATGAGACCTATCGTTTTAAAACATCGATCTTGAGCTCTTTCCAATGTGATACTTCCTTGCACCTTAGCCCACCATGTAACTCGTATTCGTAACCTTGGGCATGGCTTGTCAGGCTAAACGTGCTAAGGCATCGCCAGACATCACGGAGGGAAAGACTCACATGATATTATGGCAAACATAAATATCAAAGTTACTCGTCTATACTAAAACATAATAGGGAAGTATCTCAATGCACATGACATACATAAATGCATGAGGTCTCCATGACTTAAAATCATAACATATAATAAGAATCATTTCCTTAACCCAATATGTTTCCACGGGCTTGTCATATGATTCTTAAGAAGTTCGGTCTAGTTCAAGTGTCCCCTGAATGTTTACCTCACACGACAGTGGTGTCTATCACGAGCTAATCTACTTGTGTAGTTCCTCATCCCTCATTTCCTCATCTCCACACACAATAGTAACTCTTCAATATACTACTTATGTAGCCCCTCATCCCATCTCAAGGTGAATTTATCCGGCACAAAATAGTATATCATCAATCATCTACTTGTATAGTTCTTCGTCACCTCTCAAGGCAGGTTATCATACTCACAATAGTGATTCCTCGTGCTCACTATTGTACATACAATAACAATTTCTTAAATCGTCTACTCGCATAGTACATCTTGGGTGTCGTGGAGATATATTAGGTTCTAAGGCGTCTAGGTGGATTCGGTCACAATAACGTTTCCAATTCGCTCGGGGTTAACTCCTCACGGTGCACCTAGATCTTTTGTCAAAACCCGATTCTCGAGGTTTCGAAACTAGCACTGTGATTAAAAAGACGAAAGCGAAAACAATTTAAAAAGGAATTAAAAGAAAGGTAGAATAAAAGATAAAAATTAAATTAAATTAAATTAAAACATAAGAGAGCGAAGTTTAATGTTTCAAATATTACAAAAGTACCAATATAAAACCGAATACAAAAGACTCCAAGACGACTAAAAACAGATTTGATGCTACGGAACGACCCCCTCTGTGACCGCACAGCTCTCAAATGTTCCTCCACTTCGACCGGCCTTCGGACACCTGAAAAATGAAAGAAAACAGGTAAGCTACAGACTCTCCTCCCATTTTAGGCTTAACATATTCCCACAAGCTTCTCATTGGCAGTTGGACATCTGGTTCTGATCTTATCCACTAGGGCTATTATGGTTTTCCATCCTTTCATTTAAACCCTAAGAGTTCCCTTATGTCGAACTATGTATGACTGGTTACCTTCAAGTAGCTACCTCGGCATGGCTCTTGAGACTACTTGGTATCTTACTCAGGGGTGAGCTGCAACCACCTAGGTCTACAATAGTCCCCCTCATCGGGAAGGGGCTACCCCTCCCTTATCTCATCTAACTAAATGATCTGTACAAAGTGGGTCTCACATTTTCCATGCTAAAATGACTAGAAGCAGTCGACAACTTGCACCCTAAGGATACTACTGAGGTAGTTCGTATATCGTGGTGGTCAGTTAAGCTCTTAAGGAAAAGGTTAGGTCTATACTTAGTGACTTGTCACTCTCACCACAAATGTTTATCATAACAGTGAGTCATGAAAATTAACTAAGTGTGCACACAACTATCATCTAGCATCATCATACATAATTCATACAAAGTAAACATACATGCTCAACGAGGCGATAACATCCATCAAACTCTCGAAACGCAGGGTTCACAAAATCTCATCCACCTTTCCGCATGAATTAAACATATACATTTATAGCGAAAGCTTAAAAGCATAATTAAGACACTCAGATAATTCTCATAATCTTTCATATATTACATTCGTACTCATAATAATCAAATTACCTAAAGTCATTCATGGAAAGCTACCACCTAAGATAAATTCACTAGCATGCATGCATTCCAAGCGAATCCTACAAGTATTTCTTTCTGAATACCGTGTGGTGACTTACATGATTGACGTGTGCCCTTTCATATAGCGTTTGTATGCGAATAGGGTGTCTAAAAATATTGATTTTTCTCCATTAGGTCCTAATTCACATAAAAATATGGTTGGATTAGAATCCTACCGGTATTTTTCTCAATACATAATTAATTTATGGCAATGGGAGACCGTCGACACGTTTTATTTTAACTTCCACATTCTCTAATTATTTATTCTCGATCTTTTAGAGAATTATTTGATTAAAGTATAAACTCAATTATTTATTATGGAAGTTTAGAAATTGTAATGGAATAGAATGCGATCGACTTTTTAGAAAAGGGTACCCATATAAAATTTGATTGTTTCTCTTAAATTATATGAATTTGAGACATGTACGTTTTTGGAACGTTCGTTTATGTTAAAATGACGTACTACTTGTTCTAATCAGAACAAGTCAATCCGGTAACAATTGAACTTTGTAGAGAACCTTGATGCATGGTCGAGCCTCGAGTTATGATATGGGAGAATGATTTTATAAAATGTCTACGGAAAAATGAGTTGAACCTGTTTAAAGGAAACCATTTTGGATGTCAATTGAATTGAAAACATGTGAACAACAAATTGTGACATAGATTTAATGATTACTTAGTCCCTATACTACATTTTGAGACATTTCATAATAATGCAACGTAAAATATGTACTTTTAGAAAGGTAAAAAAAATAATAATAATAATAATAATAATACTTTTAATTAATTTATATTTGGAGTATAATATGCATTTGTTGTACAACTAATCCTAATTAATTAACTTAAAATGAGTATTAGTTAATGTATTCATAATCAACTTATTAGAATTAAAATAAATACTTTTACACTAAACATGAATTAAAAAGTGATATTGAAAACTCATTTAATTACTAAAAATAATTAAATGATTATAAATTAACAAAAGTACTCATAACAAATAATAAATAATTAAGATAATATAAGATATTAGTTACAGTACAAATAATAATGATTAGCTTATTAGATTATACTTTTATTAGTTTCATTAGCTTTCAAAAGCAACTTTATACATTTTCAATACTAAATGCATATTTGCATATTCGAATAAAGTGAACGGTCTAAAGAGAACTTCCGAGTAGCTAAAATCTAATTTCTAAATTTGCTACCAACACACGGCTAAAGACGTTTTATTAAAACCCTTGATTTCAAATTCATGTCTTTCGATCGTCTACTAAAAAACTTCACTAAATAATAATATCTTGCGTTCTAAAAGTAAAAAGTGAAAATATATGAAATAGGCCTATAGACTCCATCATCAACATTTTATTAAGATCACTAATAGAAAGACTGCTACAGTCATATTATGAAACACTACTATGCCCATATTATGAAACACTACTACCAGCACAAAGTTTTTGGTCATTGAGAAATTTCTTAAACAGACATGGGTTCAAGTTAAATCCATATGTCCGAAGTGCAATCACCTCCAGGATATCTCATCTCATGGGCCAAGGAAGGCCCATCGGGCTCGGTCGCGAAGTCCACGAAGAAATTCGGGTTAACAGCCAGCCCACCTTTGTGTGTATCAACATCAATCTGCAGCATATGGGAACCTTTCTGCACCATTTCAGGATAGAACTGACGATCCCATGGGCTGAAAAGGGAATTTGTCACATAAAGACGTTTCCCATCCAAACTTAATTGTATCATTTGAGGTCCCCCTCTCAAACGGTGTCCCTGAAATTCCAAGGAAGCTACAAGATATCAACAACTCTTACAAATTGTCTGTGTCAAGTGTCCTACGTGTGAGCTCTGCTTCGTCCAACGTTAGTTGTCTTAAGGACCGAGCTACTTGTCGATTTGTGATGTCCCACAACGAATCAGAAGAACTAACAACACCTTCCATCTCAATCAGACATGGCACAGATCATGTCTAAGAGTGAGTAGAAGTTTGCGCAGAAAACGAGTTTAGAGTAGAAGTTTAGGCATAAAACGAGTTTAGACTCGAGTATTAATTTGATTTTTGAAACCCACATGTGCTCTACTAACATGGTAATGAGAAGAAATTTGATATTTTATTGTGTTCAGTTTTCATCGGATTCAAAAACTTGTGTGAGATCCCACATCCATTGGAAAGAGGAACGAGTGCCAGCAAGAACGTTGGATCTCGAGGGAGGTGGATTGTGAGATCCCAGATCGATTGGAGAGGGAAACAAAACATTCTTAACAAGTGTGTGGAAACCTCTCTCTAGCAAACGCATTTTAAAAACCTTGAGGGAAAGCTCGAAAGAAAAAGCCCAAAAAGGACAATATTTGTTCGTGGGTTTACTCGTTTAGCATTTTCCCAAACACTAAAGAAGTTAGTAAGTCGAAGGATCGAATTTTGGTCGTAATATTCAAAATTATAAAGACCGATGTTAGAAATGCAGACCTGGATTTGAGGGACATCAAACTGGAATGTTGTTCCATCTTCTGCCTCAGCTACCACAGGATTTCCCTTTTGAATCAGTCCACCAACCCACACTTGACCCACTAACTTGGGACTTTTAGGGTCCTCAATTTTATACTGTCTCACATCTCCATGCAGCCAGTTCACAAAGTACACAAAGCGATCATCAAGAGAGATGAGAAGATCAGTAATGAGACCTGGCATTTCAGGAAGTATCCAATTTTGAACCTTCAATGGTTTTACTGAAATGGAGACCTGAACAGGTAAAAACCAAACGATCATCAAACTGAGTCGTCTAGAAGTTGGAAGATATTTGAATATAACTAAGTAGAACAAGCAAAAAGATGGGTCCGGAATTCATTTTTGTCCAAACCTCGTGACTCCACGAATCGTCTTGGTTCTTGTAAAAACGCACCAAATTACTTGTTAATGCACAACCAACATAACCTGTATCTTTGGAAGGATCGTGCAGGAATCTTGTCTGGTGTAAACATAGGCACACACAACAGCAATTAGTGACAA